CTGAGGCAGTACCCTGCTCAGCCCAGGGTTCTATGGATATTAATCTGCACTCAGGTACAAAGGAACCCTTTAAAAGAAAGACCTATACCCACTTATGCTCTCTTTCTGGCTCTTCTCTCTCCTCTCTCTTCTCTTTTTGCACTTTTTCAGCTCTCTTCCTACTCTCTCTTCCCTCTGTGCCCTGGGTCTTTCCTTCCACCACTCCCCTTTCCATTTAAGCTCTGCGTGCAGAGCCTGTTCTCCCACCACATACCTTGTCAACCTTGCCTACTGTGGAATCCACCATAGTCCCCCAACCAAGGATCCCTTCAAGTTTATCATTACAATCTCTATAACAATTATGAGTGGTATAGTCATCTTAAAATATTTATTATTTCTAGCCCAAAAAAGAATAACTAATAAATATGGAAAATCATTTTAGGTATTTTTGACATATTATAAATGGATTTTTTTCTCTTTTTAATAGAAAATAGCTTCTTTGATGTATGAAATGAAACTGTAGATTCACTGATTTGTGTTGAGGGATATTTATCTGATACTTCCCATACTTCTTCAAGGACCTAAAATATAAATTTTTATATATAATGTTTCTACAATTTGCTATATCTTCTAACATATATTAATTACAGTACTTAATTACAGTACACACACTCCCAGACACCCATATCCATACACACACACACACACACACACACACACACACACACACCCCTGAGTGTGCACTCAAATACATTTTCTCATATATGCATTGTTTCCAATGAGACAAATATATTTCTCATCCACATAAGGCATGGTACAAAATTATCTTTCAAAATTTTGTTAATTCTATGCATATTATTTTGTAGCCATATGCACTTGAGACATGATTTTCATCTAGTAAGTGATTTCTAAGAATATATTGTAGTGATATATTATTTGTGATCTAATAACACTTGCCAGGAGATCAGAATGCAAAGTCAGCCACAGCCATGCAGGCCAGAAATTGGTGCTATACACCTGTAATCCAAGCAGTTATCCATGGAAGCTGGGTGGTAGTGGTACAATCTTTTAATCCCAGGCCTAGAGAGGTATTTGACAGGAGAATGGTCTCAGTGTGGTCATTTGTTCTCCAGCCATGTTGAGGAAAGAAATGTCTCAACCTTGGTAGAAGTGAGAGCTCTCTGGTGGCTTGGCTGTTTGCTTTTCTAATCTTCAGCTTGAACACCAATATTTGTCTCTGGCTTTTTTGTGTGTTATAAACTCCAACCAAAATAAGTTAGCTACACATAAGTAAACACAGGCAATATATACACTCACACTAACAATATTCAAAGATAATAAACACACACACACACACACACACACACACACACACACACACACACACTATCATTACCACCCACAAGAAATAAAAGGAACTAACAATCAAAGGGCATTAATATCTTTCAGTTTCAACTGACTCAATTCACCAGTAATAGACAGAATGATAGGATGAATACAAAATCAGGATCCATCATTCTGCTGCATACAAGAAACACACCTCAAAAAAACGGAAAAAATCCTCAATATCAGACAGATGATATGTCAGAGTAAAGATTTTGAAAAATATTTTGAGATCAAATGTTCCAAAAAAAAAAAAAACAAGCTGTTGTAACTATTATATCTAACAAAATAGACTTTAAATCAAAATTAATCAAAAGAATTGTAGAAGAAAATTTCACACTCATCAAAAGAGAAATTCACCAAATTGATGTTACAAGGCTGTTTTTTCGTGATTTATTCATTCCCATTTTGAAGAGTTTGCTTTAAGGATTTTTGTATGTGTATGTGTGTGTGTGTGTGTGTGTGTGTGTGTGTGTGTTTCAGCTATGTTGAAATATTTGAGCCCTGATTTAGTAGGATATCTGGGGTCTGGTGGAGACATATTGTACATCATTTTTTATTTCTGTTGTATGAGGGAAACAGTTAAAATAAAATTGAAAAAATATTCAAGAAAATTAATTTTCCTTGCATCCCTTGTTTACATAAGTCTATGAGTTTTGATGACACATGTTATGGATATTGTGGTTTTACCAATCATATTTAAACTAGTAACTTCTAAATATGTAACAATCAACAAAAAAACCCATTCATTATTCTATTCCTCATGGTGTTTTTGAGACATTCAAATTTTTATACTTATAAGAGAAAATAAAATTTACCTATCTAACTCTAGTACCTTGGAATTCACCTTTCCAGGTACAACTCAGGTCAAAAAATGTTTGTAAAAACTATAAAATGAAAGCAAAAACAAAACTTTAGGGATCTGTTTAGATCATTTACATTTTAGTGATATCTGTTAAAATAAGTAATCTCCAATTAGTTAAATTCATATTGTATCAAAAAGAGCCAATTACGCCAGATGTTTTCTCTGTCTTCCTTTTTCTCTGAATTTCTTGGTTTCATATCATTGTCTAATTTTGGGAACAAATACTTTTTAACAATACTTACTACTTCCAAAATAAATTTGATTTGGAGGCTGGAATCTGGAAGAAATAGACAGTAATGAGATAGATATCAATACTCTCTCTTTACACACACACACACATATACACACACACACACAGACACACACACACACACACACACACGCACGCACACACACACACACAGATTCACAGTGAGAAAAAGAAATGAAGGCAAAATATATGTTATGTAGTAATGTATTTCATATTGTAGCACTACATTAATCACACTCTGCAGTAGGCCTTTCCATTGGAGGAAATGCATGATTGATACTGTAAACCTTATTTAAAAAATAAAATCATGGTTTGGTGGTCATGGCTTTGGAGGTCATAAGCACAGGTGGGAACAAGAACACCATTCGACTGCCTTCTCAATATTTCATCCACACAGTTGTTCATACATACAAATGTTGCCTTTGGCTTTAATCAGAGAATCCTCTCTTTTATTTAAATTTTGGTGAATGAAGAGATTCATGGTGCTGAATTTAAAGGACAGAAGCATGCTTTGCCATAAATAAGATATTTACCCTTTCCCTTCTAATGCTCTGGGAACAATATGAAAGAGTGGGAAGAAAGAATATAAGAACTAGAAGATAGGAAAAGAGTTTCATTGTATCATCAACAGTCTGGCCTGGATAGAAAAAGGACTTTTGGGTTCCTTCTCCTCATTGATGAATTTTTATTTTTTTTTTTGCTTATGGGTTGTGGGAGGGTAATATCATTGCTTCCAATAGTAGAGGCCCAGCAAGCTCCAGGTAAAACATAGATGATACCGGTTAAACCAAATGAGTCACAGAACATAGCCAAGAGTTGTGAATCTGGGAAAAGGGCTGATAGGCAGGAGTAGTATTTGGTAGTGTCAGAAGAAAAATTAGACATTGTAGGGGGTGAGAGTAATTATACCATACTATATGCATATTTTTATTGAAATAAATGAAAAAAGGCAAAAAAAGAAATCGTCCAAACATAAATGAGTCAATTTTAATTTCTATTAAAAAGCAATGGGATAGTTCTTTTTTTCTTTCCAGATTTTTTTATTTGAATTAGAAACAGGATTGGTTTACATGACAATCCCAGTTACCTTCTCTCTTCCCTCCTCTCCTACCAACACCCAACTAAAACCCGACCTATCACATATCCTTTCTGCTCCCCCTGTTTGGGGAGGACATCCATAGGTTGTCATCAGAATCTATCATATCCTTTGGGATGGGACCTAAGACCACCCCAATGTGTCTTGGCTCAGGGAGTATTCCTCTATGTGGAATGGGCTCCCAAAGTCCACACCTATGCTAGGGACAAGTACTGAACTACTACAGGAGGTCCCATAGATTTCCGAGGTTTCCTCACTGAAACACATGTTCCTGTGGTCTGGATCAGTCCCATGCTGGTATCCCATTTATCATTCTGGGGAGCAAGAATTCCCCAATATTCAGGTGAGCTGTTTCTGTGGGTTTCACCAGCCTGGTGTGGACCCCTTTGCTCTTCGCTTGTCCTTCTCATCAGGATTCCAGTTCAGTTCGGTGATTAGTTGTGGGTGTCTTCTTCTACTTCCACCAGCTTCTGGATGAGGGCTATCAGGTGGCATATAAATCAGTCATCATTCTCATTATCCAGGGAAGGCATTAAAATAGCCTCTCCTCTGTTGCTTAGATTGTTAGCTCCAGATCTCCAGATTGTAGATCTCCAGACATTTCCCTAGTGTATGATTTTTCTGTAAACCTAATATATCTTCCTCTATTATGGTATCTCTATTCTTGTATCTTCTATTCTTCCCCTGACTCAACCTTTCTGCTCCCTCATGTCCTCTGCATCTCTCCTCTTTTCCCCTACTCATTCTTCTAGCTCCCCCCCTCTGCCCGAGCTCAGGGGATCTTGAAACTTTCCCCTTTTCCAGGGGACCATGTATGTCTCTCTTAGGGTCCTACTTGTTTACGAGCTACTCTGGCAGTGTGGATTGTAGGCTGGAAAACCTTTACTCTATGTCTAAAATCTGCATATGAATGAGTACGTACCATATTTGTCTTTCTGTAATTGGAGTACATTGCTCAAAAATGGCTTCTTCTAGTTCCATCCATTTTCTTGCAAATTTCAAGATTCCATTGTTTTTTATTTTTTCTGCCTAGCAGTACTCCATTGTGTAAATGTCCCACATTTTCTCTATCCATTCTTCGGTTGAGGGGCATCTAGGCTGTTTCCAGTTTCTGGATACCTAAATAGACAATTCTCAATAGAGGAATCTAAAATGGCTGAAATACACATAAGAAAGTGTTCAACATCCTCAGCCATCATCGAAATGCAAATCAAAACAACTCTTAGAAACCATCTTACTCCTGTCAGAATGGCCAAAATGAAAAACACCAATGACTGTTTATGCTGGAGAGGTTGTGGAGAAAGGGGAACACTTCTCCACTGGTGGGAGTGCCAACTTGTAGAGCCACTTGGGAAATCCGTATGGCAATTCCTCAAGAAAATGGGAATCAGTCTACAACATGATCCAGCAATTCCACTCTTAGGCATATACCCAAAAAAAAGCACAATCATACAACAAGGACATCTGTTCACTGATGTTCATGGGATATGTCTTTATTTAAAACATTCCACATAGTTTCAATCTCTTAAACTGCATTATGCAAAGCAAAAGCTATAGCTTGAATATTGTCAGTAACTGGCCATGGTCAATTTTTTCCTTTACATCACTTCAATTTGATTAAAAAATAAATCTTTGCATTGACAAATATGATGTGATCAGTCTTATTTATTTTTAAAATTTGAAATTATTGAATGAAGATCACTAGGGTGAATGTATAACTTTTAATTTTATAGTTTTAGTATAAGATTTTCAAAATGATAATATTCATACATCATTTCTAAAATGTGTGATTTTCCTGACTGATTTATTAATTAGTTAATAGCAGATTAACTTTTTATATTCACAGAGATTTTGTCCCATATTTGGTTTTATAATACTTTATAATATAATGAATTAATTAAATTTTTAAGTTGTTTTAATGGGACAAAAGTAATTATAAAGTATGTGTCAGCCTCTGTTAAAATATTTCTACTTTAAAGTACTTCTCAAAAATATTTAAAATCATAATTAGGGCGAAAGGAAACATATTGTAACATGAATAATATAAACACAGAGAAAGATATTGAGGTTCAATATGATTATCAGTATCAGAAAAGCAAAGCAGCCAAGCTACCAGAAAGTTCTTACCCATATCAAGGCTGGGACAATCTTGTCTTCATTATGTCTGGAGAATGATTACCCACTCTCTGACCCTGCTCCTGTTTTATATACCTCTCTAGTATTGGTATTAAAGGATTGTACCACCATCACCCAGCTTCTGTGACTAACTTGTATTCTGCTTTAATTAAAACTGTGTACCACAATGCCTGGCCTCTATGGCTGTGGATAGCTTTGCATTCTGATCTCCAGGCAAGCATTATTAGATTACAAATAATATATCACTACAGTAGTTTTCTTTCTCATACTTTCTGCAGAGCAGGAACTATGGATAGATATTTTTTAAATTTGAATTTTGTCATGAAATATCTTGTTTTTCCATTTATTGATTGAAAATTTTGCTTTCATTGGAGAAATAATGTCCCTTTGTTATTAAAAGTTTTGATGGTTATTGTAGTCTGGGATGGCATCCATGTTCTTTTAGCATCTTCAGCTATCTCTCCAGGCTCTTCTGGCTTTTAGAATGTCCATAGAGAAATGATGTATAATTTATTTATTTATTTTAAAAGCAATTTTTTACATATGCATCCCCCCATTCCCTCACCTCTCCATCCTCCCATGCTCAGCATTAAACCCCCAACTCACCCACCACCTCTTCCCCAGGTACAGTGAAGCCCTCCACAGGGTCCATCAAAGTCCATCACATCATTTAGGGCAGGTCCTGTGTCACCTTCCCACACCTGGGTTGCAATAGTATCCCTCCATATTGGATGGGTTTCCAAAATCTATTTGTGCTTTAGGGAAAATACTGGCTCCACTGTTAGAGGATCCAGGATTGGGTGCAGGGCCTGTACTTTGGGGTTGTAAATGAGGGGGGAGTAGCAGGCAGTATAATAGAACAGAAGAGAATTCATTTAGAACAGAAGCCAGGTACTGGGCAATTCATGTTTTAGGCAGAATATTTACCTGTTCTTTTCACTGGTGTGACCTGCATCTGAATAGAGGAAGACATCTGGAGTTGGGTGCAGGGCCCAGGAGCAGCTTGGGTGATGGAGTGACATGGTCAGGGCTGGGAAATTACTCTAAAATATGTTCAGTCTCTCCACATCTATTCATTACAGTAGTTGCAATTTTAGCTAGAGTAATAAGACAAGTAAGAAAAAATGAATTTCCAAATTGGAAAGGAAGAATTCTTAGTATCACTATTGGTAGATGATATAATAGCATACATAAGTGACCACAAAAATTCTACCTGGCAACTCCTGCAGCTAATAAATGCCTTCAGCAAAGTTGCTAGAAACAAGAATGACTCAAAAAATTAGTAGCCATCCTATATGCAAATGATAAAATTGTTGAGAAAATAAGGTGAACAGAACACTTAAAAAAAAAAAACAAAATATCTTGGTGTAACTCTAGCCAAGAAAATGAAAGAACTTTATGATGAGTCTTTAAAGTCTTTAAAGAAAAAATTCATAGAAGATATCAGAAAATGTAAAGATTTCCCAAGCAAATGGATTGGTAAGTTTAAGATGGTAAAATATGGACATATTATCAAAAACAGTCTGTAGAATCAGCATAATTATCATTAAAATTTGAACACAATTATTTACAGACATTGAAAGAATAATACTCAAATAAAAATACAGAACAAAACAAAAATCAGTTTAGCAAAAAACAATCTTTTATTAATTTCAAATGAATATGTCCAATATTGGTATAAAAACAAATTAAGGGAATCTAATGAAACTGAAGGCATAAATACACAAACCCATTGACACCTGATATTTTTTGTCTTTAACCTCCTTTATTTTTTATTAGTTTAAATTAGGAACAAGCTTGTTCCCATATCAATGCATTCTCCCTCTCCCTCTCCTTCCCTCCAACCCCTCCCCCACTCCTGGCCTACTCCACATGCCATCCACCCTGCACTCCCCAGTCAGGGTAGAGGCCATGATGGGGGCTCCCCAAAGTACAGCACATCATCCTGGGCCAGCCTAGGCCCTCCCCCATGTGTCCAGGCCCACAGTACATCCCTTCACATAGGATGGGCTCTCAAATCCCTTCTTACACCAGGGAAAAATACTAATCCACTACCAGGGGTCTGCTAGAGTTCAGAGGCCTCCTCACTGACATCCTTGTTCAGGAGTCTGGATTATTCTTGTGCTGGCCTCCCAGATAGCAGTCTGGGGTCAATGTGCTCTCCCTTGTTCAGGCCAGCTGTTTCTGGGGGATTCACCAGCCTGGAACTGACCCAGTTGACCTGGATTTATGTTGAGATATTTGATCCATTTGCACTTAATTTTTGTGCATGGTGACAGCTATGGATCTATCTGCAATCTTATGCATAACCAATTATAGTTGTGCCAGCACCATTTGATGAAGATCCTATCTTTCTTCCATTGTGTAGATGTAGCTTCCTTGTGAAAAATAGGGTGTTCATAGGAATGTGGGTTAATATCATTTATTCAATTCAATTCCATTGGTCTATCTATTTTTGTGCCAATACCAAGCTGTTTTCAGAACTATGGCTCTATAAGAGAGCTTGAAGTCAGGGATGGTGATGCCTCCAGAAAATCTTTTATTGTACAGAGTTTTTTGGTTCTCCTGGGTTTTTTATTTTTCCATATAAAGTTTAGTATTGTTCTTTCAAGGTCTGCGAAAAACTATGTTGGGATTTTGATGGGGATTACAGTGAATCTGTAGATTACATTTCGCAAAATTGCCATTTTTACTATGTTGATTCTACCTATCCAAGAGCATGGGAGAAGTTTCCATTTTCTGGTATCTTCTTTAATTTCTTTATTAAAATACTCAAAATATGTACTGTACAGGTCTTTCACTTTTTTGATTACCTTTACCCCAAAGTATTTTATGTTGCTTGGGGATATTGTGAAGGGTGATGTTTCTCTGATTTCTTTTTCATTGCATTCATCATTTGTATATAGTAGGTCTACTGATTTTTTGAGTTAATTTTGTATCCTGCTACTTTGCTGAAGGTGTTTATCAGCTGTAGGAGTTGCCTGGGAGAGTATTTTGGGTCACTTATGTTGACTATCATATCATCTGCAAATAGTGAAATTTTGACTTCTTCCTAACCAATTTGTATCCCTTTGATCCCCTTTTCTTGTCTTATTTCTCTATCTAGAACATCAAGTACAACATTAAAGAGATATGGAAGGATTGGACAGTCTTTTTTTGTTCCTGATTTTAGAGGAATTGCTTTGAGTTTCTTTCCATTTAGTTTGATGTTGTTTTTTGATTTGCTGCATATTGCTTTTATCATGTATAGATGTGTTCATGTTATTCCTGTTCACTTCAAGATATTTATCAAGAAGTGATGTTGGATTTTGTCAAAGAGTTTTTCAGCATCTAGTGAGAAAATCATGTGCATTTTCTTTTTCAGTTTGTTTATATGGTGGATTACATTGATGGATTTTCATATGTTGAACCATACTTGCATCCATGTGATGAAGCATACTTGATCATAGTGGATGATTTTTCTGATGTGTTTGATTAAATTCACCAATAATTTGTTGAGTATTTTTGCATCAATGTTCATGAGTGATATTGGTCTGTAGTTCTCTTTTCTACTAGTATCATTGTGTGGCTTGTGTATCAAATTGATTGTAGCCTAGTAAAAAGATTTTGTCAATGTCCTTTCTACTTCTATTGTGTGGAACAATTTGAGGAGTACTGGTATTAGCTCTTGTTTGAATTTCTGGTAGAATTCTGCAGTGAAGCCATCTGGTCCTGGGAGTTTTTTGATTGGGATGCTTTTGAAAAAAAACTTCTATTTCATTAGGGGCAATAGGTCTATTTAACCTGCTTATCTGTTCTTCATTTAATTTTGGTAGGTGATATCCATCCACAAAATTGTCCATTTCCTTTAGAGTTTCAAATTTTGTGGAGTACAGGTTTTCAAAGTATGACTGATTATCCTCTGGATTTCCTCAGTGTCCATTGTTATATTCCCTTTTCTTGTCTGATTTTGTTAATTAGCATGCTCTCTCTCTACCTTTTGGTTAGTTTGATAGAGGTTTTTTCTATCTTATTTATCTTCTTAAAGAACCATATCTTTGTTTCATTGATGTTTTCCTAGTTTCTACTTTATTGATTTCAGCCCTCAGTTTGATTATTTCCTGGCATCTATTCCTCTGTGGTTTCTGTGGTGAGTTTGTTTCATTTAGCTCTAAAGTTTTCAGTTGTTCTGTCAATTATCTAGTGTGACTTTTCTCCAGTTTCTTCATGTGGGCACTTAGTTCTATGAACTTTCCTCTTAGCACTGCTTTCAGAGTGTCCCATAATTTTGGGTACCTTGTGTATACATTTTCATTAAATTCTAGGTAGTCTTTAATTTCTATTTTTATTTCTTCCTCAACCTAGAATGGTGCAATATGGTGTTATTTAATTTCCCTGAGTTCGTAGCTTTTCTGCAATTTGTACTGCTGTTGAATTCTAGCTTTAAAGCTTAATGATCTGTAATATACACTGGTTATTTCAATTTTTTTTTGTATCTCTGGAGGTTTCCTGGATATTTTGCTTTGTGGCCAACTATGTGTTCAATTGTAGAGAAGTTGCCATGTGGTGGTGAAAAGAAGTTATATTCTTTTGTGTTTGGATGGAATGCTCTATAGATTAAACCCAGTTGGATCATGACTACAGTTAGATCCCTTGTTTCTTTTTTAAGATTCTTTTTGGTGTCCTGTCTAGTGGTGAAAGCAGGGTATTGAAGTCTCCTACTATAATGGTGTGTGGTTTTTTTGTGTGGTTTGATGTTTAATAAAGTTTCTTTTACAAATGTGGGTGCCTTCGTATTTGGGGTATAGATGTTTAGGACTGAGACTTCATCTTGTTGGACTTTTCCTGTGATGAGTATGCAGTGCCCTTCTTTATTTCTTTTGATTGATTTTTGTTTGAAGTCTAATTTTTACATATTGGGATTCCTATACCAGCTTGATTCTTGGGCCCAATTGATTGGAAAATCATTCTCCAACCCTTTACTCTGAGGTAATGCCTGTCTTTGAAGTTGAGGTGTGTTTCTTGTATACAGCAGAAGGATGGATTCTGTCTTCATATCCATTCTTTTAGCCTGTATCTTTATATGGGCATGTAAAGCCATTGACATTGGGAGATTTTAATGTCAATTGATTGTTGGTTCTTTTTTTTTTGTTTTTTTTTGTTGGGGGTGTCATTGTGTGTGTATTTTGCCCTCCTGTTTCTTTTCATGTTTGGTAAAATTTGATTATCTATTGCCTATGTTTTTATGAATGTATTTATATTTGTTGAGTTGGAGTTTTCCTTCCAGAATTTTCTGTAGTCTGGATTTGTGCATATGTATTGTTTAAGTCTCATTTTGTCATGGAATATCTTGTTTTCTGCATCTATAGTGATTCAAAGATTTGCTGTGTACAGTAGTCTGGGTTGACATACATGCTCCCTTAGTGTTTGCAGGATATCCTTCCAGGACCTTCTGGCTTTCAAAGTTTCCATTGAGAAGTTGGGTTTTATTCTGATAGGTCTACCTTTATATGTTACTTGGGCTTTTTCCTTTGGTGCTCTTAATATTTAATGTTTATTCTGTAGGTTTCATGTTTTGATTATTATGTACCAAGAGGACTTCTTTTTGTGGTTTATTCTGTTTGGTGTCCTGTAAGCTTCTGTACTTTCGTAGGCATATCCTTCTGTAGGTTGGGGAAGGTTTTTCTATGATTTTGTTGAATATATTTTCTGTTCCTTTGAGCTGTATTTCTTCCCTTTCTAATATACCTATTATTCTTACGTTCATCCTTTTCATGGTGTCCCATTTTTTCCTGCATATTTTATGTTAGGGATTGGTTGGACTTGAGATATTCTTTGGTTGATGACTGTATATCCTCTAGAGAGTCTTCAACAATTGAGATTATCTCTTCCTTTCCTTGAATTCTATTGTTCATACTCACATCTTAGGTCCTGATCATTTATCCAGCATTTCTAATTCCAGCATCACCTCAGTCTTGTTTCCTTTGTTATTTCTATTTCAGCTTCATATCTTGAACAGTTTCAACTACTTCCTTCACTACTTTGGTTGTTTTTTCTTGGGTTTCTTTAGATTCTTTAAGAGATTTGTTTACCTCTTGAATTTTTTAGTTTGTCTTTG